AGTATGTGTGTGCATGTGTATATAGTATGTGTATGTGTGTGTATGTATACAGTATGTGTGTGCATGTGTATATAGTATGTGGTTGTGTGTGTTGTATGTATACAGCATGTGTGTATGTGTGTGCATGTGTATATAGTGTGTGTGTATGTATATAGTATATGTGTATGTGTGTGCATGTGTATATAGTATGTGGTTGTATGTGTTGTATGTATACAGTATGTGTGTGCATGTGTATATAGTATGTGGTTGTGTGTGTTGTATGTATACAGCATGTGTGTATGTGTGTGCATGTGTATATAGTGTGTATATGTATGTGCATGTGTATATAGTGTGTGGGTGTATGTGTCTGCATGTGTATATGGTATGTGTGTGTGTATAGTATATGTGTATTTGTGTGCATGCATATATAGTATATGTGTGCATGGGTATACAGTATATTTGAGTATGTGTGTGTATATAGTATATGTGTATGTGTGTGCATGCATACATAGTATGTGAGTGTGAGTGTGTGTGTGTGCATGTGTATATAGTATGTGTGTGCATGTAGATAGTATATGTGTATGTGTGTGCATGTGTATATAGTATGTGTATGTGTGTGTATGTATATAGGATGTGTGTGTGCATGTGTATATAGTATGTATGTATGTGTGTGTAGTATATCGAATGTGTATGTGTGTGCATGTGTATATAGTGTGTGTATGTATATAGTATATGTGTATGTGTGTGCATGTGTATATAGTATGTGGTTGTATATAGTATATGTGTATGTGTGTGCATGTGTATATAGTATGTGGTTGTGTGTGTTGTATGTATACAGCATGTGTGTATGTGTGTGCATGTGTATATAGTATGTGGTTGTATAGTGTGTACATGTGTGTATGTGTGTGCATGTGTATATAGTATGTTTGTGTGTGTAGTGTGTATATGTGTGCGTGCGTATGTAGTAACGTGTGTGCGTGCGTGTGTGCATGTGTATATAGTATGTAGTATGTGTGTGTGTGTGTTTTGTTCTCAGTGGCAATGCTCTTCATTCATCACCATGGGGCATGTTTGGATCACATGACACAACACCCTCTCCAATTACAGAACTTACTACTGTTTTAAAAATCTGACAACAGGTGGCCAAGCAGGAAAATACAGCAGATCGGACGTCTCAAAAAATGATTACGACTGAGGACCCCCAACCTGCACTGTGAGAAAGGATGTTACCCAAGTGCTTCCTCAAGATTCAGTTTATTCAGGCCCTCCAGTTCTTACACAGTTGAAGCTCTGTTAATTCATATAGTGGCCGATTTCCCCACCCACCCCCAGCGTTTCTCCACACCAGTGCCATATAATATCCATCTTTTAAAAGGACATCTGGATATCTCACAAGAAGACTCAACTTTTAAAGCATGTAAATAATATAGAAACTAATATAGAAATAGGCAACTTTTGAGATACATTTCAAGTACTAAGACACACCAAGGGTTTGACAAAATATAAACGTAACTCATGGAGACAATTTGTAAAGATCCAAATCTATATTAAAAAATGCTAATGTAAAACCAAAACTTCAAGGCAGAACATTTAGCTATTAGCAAACTTGATGTTGCCCTTAACGAGCTTGTTATCAAAGAAAGTGCTTGTATTTCACAAGTGTTTTAATTACACCAGACAAGCATTTCAAAGAAAGAAACCAAACTATGCCAATGTTCTTTCCTGCCACTTTACCTAAAAACTTCTCTTGATCAACTCTGAGGTTCCTAACATGATACAAAAAAGTCTATCTATACCTATGTGTTCAGATTTTCTTACACAGCTGAAAGACTTTCTGGCTACCATTATCAACTGATAGTTCCATGTACAAACCCTCACAATAATCTTCTCTTAGCAAACCCAGAACACACATAGTCCCAGCTAACTTCTGCACTCTCTGCTTGAATGACTCTCCATTGAAAGCAAGAAACACAACATAAAAGTTATTGCTAAAAGTGATCTCCACCCTTGGATATCCCACACTTACTATTGGGGAACCATCAACGGGAACCTTGCACACAGCAGAACCAGCAGGACAAGCCACCCCATGCATAGGGTTAAGCGGCTGGCAAATGTTGATGTAGAAGTCAGGGTCGGTGTCGGAGTCATCGTCCTCACTTTCGTCGTATGCTTCATAACCACCGGTGTGGTGGATGAGAGGGGACAAGTCAATAATAGAGCTTCCATTCCTCACAGAACATTCCGTCTGTTAAACAGGAAAGACTGCACTTAAGTCTACAAAAACATTTTCCTAATCACCATTAAGTCATCCACAAAAAGTAAACACTAAAACAACAACAAAAAGCCCAAAGACTGGATAAACATCTCCAAACGCTTTGTTACACAGCAGCTGGCACTTTCACTCCACTTCAGTAGTGGGACAATCAGGAGTGGCTGAGGTTGGTGGGGTCTCTGTGGGCGGGGGGTAGGGGGCGACCCACAGTACTGACAGATGCTGCCACGCCATCTCACCACTTGTTCGCAGGCCAGAGGTGTGTGCCACGAGAAGAAGAGAGTGCAGGTCTGCTTGTCGAGTGAGATGAGCATGGGCCTGTTGGTCGGCCTGGCCTCGGGCCTGCACACAAAGCTGATGACACTCTTGTAGCTCAGGCCCGATTTGGAGGGACAAGGGGAGCCGTCCTCATAGACCAGCTGCAAGACCTGATCCACGTAGGTCAGCCTCTTGTTGGCCTTGCCCACACTGATCCGGGTCTGTCCGAAGCAGGCCCCTGCGCCACATGAGAAGGGCAGAAGAAAAAACACACAGTCGCAGATTCAGTGGCCAGTTTTCCGATAAGAAGTCTGCAAGCCCACACTACAAAATCATAGGTAAGACATTACACGTAACGTTTCATCACATGGCCACACATCCCCGTGCCCCCGTCAGCTGACTGCTGCAAGATATAAAGGCGTTTGACCTGCTGGCTCCCCTCATCTCCTGTGCCATGGGCATGCGGTCAGGCCGGGGACAGCCTGTGGACGGGAGAGTCAGAGGACGCGAGAGCAGCAGCGCCCTTACCCACTCCGGGAGAGCAGTTCTCATTCTCCTCGCAGATGCTCATGAAGACGAGCCCCTTCTCGCTGTACGCAGCCGTGAACCCAGTTCTGCCACTTAAGGAAGTCAGATCGAACAGGTGTCCTGGAAAGCAGAAGAGGAGGGGACACAGTGACCCCAGGGAGCTCACACAGGTGGCCAAACACACCCCCACACACCACAGAAAACTTCTGCCCAAGGAGCCTTCCTCCCCACAGCTGCTCCTTGGGTTTCCCCACTGTGCCGGGGCTGGTGACTGGCACTGTCTATCCCCTGATCCGGGGCTGGTGGCCGGCACTGTCTGTCTCCCCACTGTGCTGGGACTGGTGGCCGGCACTGTCTCCCCACTGTGCTGGGACTGGTGGCCGGCACCATCTCTCACCTGTGCTAGGGTTGGTGACCTGGCAGTCGTCATGCACGTTGCTCTTCACAGGACAAGCAGCGGCCGTGGGCCAGGAGAAGGTGTACTCACAATCCTCCACGGCACTGATGAACATGGGCCTGGAGTTCTACAACACAGGACAGGCAGTTTCCAAAGTCATCGCACAAGTTTGATGTATAGCACATTTCAACTTATAACATGGGGAAGCTCCTTTGCAGAACACCAGAAGCACAGGGAATTTGTGTCTCAATGTCTGTATGGGATGGGGTGCAGATCGGAAAAGCGAAGGGTCACTGTGTGTTCCAAAGGGGGCACTGCGGGCTTAATATGCACACACAGGCAGGTAAAACTCCCCAGAGCCAGAAAACCCACTCTAGGGCCAGGAAGGTCTCCTAAGGCGGAGGCAGAGGCACAAGGCAGGGGTTAGGGACAGGTGGGCAAAGGATGTGCCAATGGCTACTGGGAGACACAAATGAGGAAATAATTGATACAATCCTAAAAAACGAACTAAAATCTGTTATTATGGTCAAAATGAAAAGACCCACCAAAAGAACTGTCATTTCTCCTAATCCTTCCACTGACCCTGGTTGCTGCTTGCTCTGGGCATCTCAAAATGCTCACGTCCACCACAGAGCAGGGTGAGATCCATTCAGCAGAGCCTCCTCCCCAGATAAAACCCACAACACCTTGGTGGTCTAACCTGACAAGCCCACACTGGGGTCCAGCCTCCTGGGCAAGGGATGCAGAGCCCCACACACCACCTCACCTCTCCTTCCCACGTGGAGCCTGGGGCCTCCCTGCTCAGGCACAGATGAGAAAGCCCCAAGGGCCAGGCTTCCAGGGCCCCTTGGCTCCCGGCTCTAGGCCAAGCCTCTGCACTTTCTGCCCAAGAGGAAGCCTCACCTGCCCCTCCGGTCAAGGGGCATGTCCAGTACCTGCAACTCCCCCATCCCAGGCTCCTCCAGCACTGCACAGCTGCAGGGTGCTGGGTGGCCCATCTGAATGCTGAGCAGGCTGCCCAGAGGACCTCATCCCCAAACACAGCGACAGCCCTAAGCACACAACAGCCCACGGGGCTTCACCACACCCTCAGAGAGAAACCATTGACGCAGGTGACACCTGCTTAGCTGCCACCCCAACCAATCAGGGAAGGACTCGGTCCCAGAGCTGAGACTTGCCCCACCAAATGCTCACCTACTGTGTGCCAAAAGGGACACTCGGCACTCCCTACCGCTGCTCTCTAAGCCTCACAGCAACTGGCCAGACAGGCATGCCTGTGCGATTAACAGGGAAGCAGTTTACAGAGGTAGGTAATTAGCCAAGCAAGGCGGAAAGAGCCCCTCTGACCCAGTCCTGTCCAGCCTTCTCGCTCTTCCCAAGCTGCCTCCATGGATACAAAGGGCCTGTCATCAGATATCACTTTTTCTCTACCACCTTCAGGGGATCTGCCAACCTCCAAAGAGAAGCAACTCATTCAGAAATAGAATTGCAGGTTAAGCATCTCAGGAGCCAGGGAGGAAGTCCATTTCCCCGATTGCTGGCCTTGGCCCTCCACTAAGCTGTGTCACCCTGAGCTCTTCACTCTGTGTCTCCAGGGAAATAAGGACGTGGGTGCCATTGACCCTCAAGGGGGCACAGCTCCCCAAAGCAGCAGCGGAGGCTAAGAAGCTTCCACCTACCGTTTGGGTCTCGCTGCAGGTGAATCGGATGGTGGTCGACCTTTTCCGAATCTGGTCTGGACACGAGTCGCCGTCAACGTACTTCAGGATGGTTATGCCATCTCTCCACTGCGGCCCATCCCTCACCTGGCCCAGGTTCAAGGGCTTGGAGCCATTCAGCAGACACACCGCCGCCTCAGGAGGGCAGGGCTCTGCAACAGGGGAAGCCACAGTCAAGAGTTACCTTCAGTGACTCTCCAATCCAGAGCACAACTTTTTCTGGCAAGGAATGTTAGACTGCCACAGAACTTCACACTCCTTATCACCTGCTCTTTCTTTCACACAGGTCAGACGACAATGACACCCATCAGTCCTCACTCATGTAAAGGCTGTTTCACTACAGATGGACTAGGGGCAGGCATGGGATATGGAGGGATATTCAAGATGCAATGGTCCGAATTATTTCTGAACCCCAGATATGACAGGACTAAAATTCCTACATTAAGCCAGTGGAACATTTTAAATGGCCTACACTCATGCACTCTATTCAAGAAGTTACAAGGGCTCTGCTGGTTTCTCAGTTCCCGAAATGTCTGTGCCAAGTGCCCTGGGTGAACTAATCCCACACCAGTGGGTCTAGAGCACAGTGAGGCAAGAAGTGGGCCCCCAGCCTCAAACCACAGAGGATGAAAACCACTTTCTGTAGTTAAAAAGCCAGTACCCGCTTGGAGTTGGGCCATGGAAGACGTGGGTGGGGCTGTACTAAACTCTAAGAAAACAGGACGAGTTTCATCTTCAAGACTCCAAGAGGCCGTGGGTGGCACCAGGATCACTGGGGAAAGCTGTTGGGCCCACGTGTGTAACTGATTTCTAATCTCGTCCCAGCACTAAGGGCCTGGGTGAGCTGGCCCTGCGTCACGGGAGGACCACCCCCACACTCAGTACACGCACAGCTGCACAGCCGATCCCCGCTCCATCCTCCTGCCACCCCTGCTAGGAGGAGCTCACTCTCTGCCATCCTTACTTCCATCTGCCTCTATCTCCTCACGTTCAGAAAAGGTCATAAGGCTCCCAGCAGTGCCCTCGGCACTGGTTTGTCCTGGGCCACATGAGGATCAGCCTAATTAGACCCTTACACGACTCCTCCTGCTGCTGCTTCTTGGCCAAACCACTCACATGCTGCAGAGAGTAAAGCACCTTCAAAGAATCCTACTCCTACCCCCTCTTCCCTGTTGATGTTGACTATAAGCATCACCCATGAAGAGTCCCTCTCACCAGTGCCACCCTGTGGAGACAGAGACTTGCAAACGTTGATGAGGTAGTGCTCGGTGGCCCCTGTCCTGGTGATGGCTTCCCAGTTGTCACTGTACCTTGACAGGGATGAGAGGTCGAAGGGATTTCCCGCTGTGTCTCTGAAGGGAAGAGCATGCTGTGGTTAGGGTCAGTTGTTGCTAAAAACTTAGCACCCTTTCTGGAAAGGCTTGAGTATTTCAGGCACAGTCTATCTCCAACACCCTGTAAATCAAATCTCACCCAGGGACAGAATGTTAGGCTGGAAATGAACTCTCTCACATCCAATCACCAGCAACAACACAACTCTGACTTCAGGAAACTCCAACACTTGCTTTAACAAAATTAAGCATTAACAACAACAACAAAACAAGTCTGACAAGCCAGCTCTGTCCATGCTTTGGCCAGCGGGCAGGGGAGCTTGCTGGCTAGAGCTGACAGCTCAGACGCTCACAGGAGCAGCCAAGGCAGGCCACCTATCATCTATACCTGAGGCCACCAATGGTCACCAAAATAAAAATGGGCTGTGTTGACCTTTCTGCTCAGGCTAAAGGTCACTTACTACACAAATCCCATAAATGGACAGTTATTGAGAGCCGACCATGCAGCAGATACAATACTAATGGTGAGCAAGACAAATACTCTGTTGCCACCAGGAAGCACCAGGCCCAGCATGCAGAACAATTACAGACACCATTTCTATGCTAGGAGAGTGAAAATTGCTGTTTCATCCAAAAATTACAAGCTGAACTAGCCGCATCGCAGTGAGCAGGACAGATAAAGTTGCCAACCTTACGAAGTTTACCAAAGTTATTAGAGGAAGAAAAAGACCACAAACTAGACAAGCTTTAAAAACATATAGTGTACCAGATGGCAATAAGAGCTGAAGAAAAGAAATGGCAGGGAAGGGGGGCATAAAGTTTGGGGGTGGGAGGAGTTGGTGAAATTTTAGACAGAGCAGCCAGGAAAGGCCTTACTGACACCTGAGTAAACTCTGAGAGCAATGGAACAGCTGGCCCGGCAACAAGCATCGCAGGCAGAGGGCCTGAGGCAGGCGAGCCTGGCACGCTGGAAGAAGAGCGAGAAGCCGGGTGTGGCTGGAGTGGAGCCGTGTGCAGGAGTGAGCAGGAGACAGACGAGCCGAGACCTGACCCCGGGCCGTCCCACGCAGGGTCTGTGAGTCACAGGAAGGACTGCAGCTTGTGGCTCCAGAGGAGAGGGGCAGACAGTGCACTGAAGGGTTTCAGCAACATACGCAGCCTGACGTATCATCACAGGGTCATCTCGACTACTGCACTGGACTAGTCAAATGTGTGGCAAGGGCGGAGGCAGGGAGGCCGAGAGACCAAGAGCTACCCTGGCAGTGCAGGGGCGAGAAAGGAGCCTGAACCAGGGACAGCAGGGAGCCAGGGATGGCTACCGGTGATGGCACGAGACACAGAGCACACGGGCATGACCCAAGGTGCTACCAGCAGTCCTCGAAGAAATCAATCAAAACTAACCAAAGTGGGGTAGGGAGAGAAGAGACGAGACCAGCCCTGGTGAACTGCATTTTTAAACAGGGATGTATGTATGTTTTATTTAGACTTATGGAAGGGTCCGAAATGAACTACAAGAAGATATGGTAAAAAGTGGAGTGAGGTTGAGCTGAGAGGATGGGGGAGGGGCAGACATGTCATCTCATATGTTTTAAAACTCCTTGAATGTATTACAAAATACATGTATCGAATTTTATCAGTTATAAAATTATCCTTTGACTTACTGGATTCTACTTTTAAAAACTCAGCCTAAAAATATTTTTAGGAGAAAAGCTTTATGTACAAGGGAAACAAAAATTTACTCCTTATACATAAATATCAGAAAACTGAAGACAGCCCTCAAGACAGTAGAGGATGGCTAAGTAAATCAGAGACACCTGCTTGGAAAAATAGTTCACATCCGTCAGAAATGAGAAATGAACTTGATTGACGTAAAAATATTATGAAACATTGAATGGAAAAGTAACATTACTAAAATTATGTCTTAAAGCTACTAAATGTAAATTACTAAATGTATATATTTATATATGTGACTAAGACTTAAATTACGATTTCACCTATAGAAAAAAACAGATGACCCAACTGGACAGAGGGTGGAAGGAAACAGAAACAGCTGTATTTTCCCAAGAAAGTACCGTGACTAAGCGGTTATTTACGGGGTGGCTTCAGCACACACCAGAACTGTCAGCATGTCCCTACAAAATACAGAACTGAAGCCTTACAAAACCGGCGTCTCCAGGGATGGGACGTAGGTGTCTATTTGGGAACATTCCAAGAGCAATTCTGTGGCAATTCACACACAATGGAGACCTCTGCCTCGTCGCCGGAGCCACCACATCACCCAATCGCAGGGGTGCATTTGAGTCATGGGCAACAAAGAGACCAAAAGGACCCGTACTGGCCGCAGAAAAGCCTGCAGGCTGGTGTCATCCCTGTCACGCGCTCTCCAACACCACCACCCATCTGCGTGGCCCTCCATCACCGCTCCACACTGTGAGGACTTGGAAAAAGGGGACCGTGCAGTCTCTGCTGTTGCGTCCCCAGACACAGGCAGTGTCTGAGGAAGCAGCAGAGGGCAGGGGACCTCCTGGCCTCTTCTCCACTCCACACAGACCCGTGAACTTGCAGCTCCAACCACTTCCCCACATGCATCTGAACACAAAATGATCACAGAATCTCATGGCTGTGAAGGATCTGAGAGTCAACCTAACCCGACTCCTCACTTTAATATTAGGGAACTGAGACCTGGCTGGTTAGCTCAACTGGTTAGAGCATGGTGCTGTAACATGAGATCTAAGGGTTTGGATCCCTATACCAGCCAGTTGCGTCCCCCAGCCCCCCAAAATTAGGGAACTGAGGCCTAGAGAAATTAACTAAGCTGGTTAGAGCATGGTGCTGTAACATGAGATCTAAGGGTTTGGATCCCTATATCAGCCAGTTGCGTCCCCCAGCCCCCCAAAATTAGGGAACTGAGGCCTAGAGAAATTAACTAACTGGCTAATCTATCCCTCACCGAGATCATTAATTACTAAAGCAAAATCATATCAAATTAGTCTAACTGTCCAAAAGAGTCAACAATATATCAACTTACTTGAATGAACATTCGGTCACTTGGAAAGGTGGGCAGGCATACTGTGTTCGCCATTCAAACAAGTAGGAACAATCTGAGGTCTCCTTTAGAAATACTGGCTGAAAAAGTTAAGATGAACATATATAAAAAATGGGAATGCAAAACTCTAGTTTAGTTTATACTTTGAATTTCGAAGGATGAAAATCGTAAGGGATGGCTATACTCATTAAAATCTTTACAAACTGATGGAGGTTTCAACATACTTTCTGTAAATAATGTACTCTAAGTTAACCAGATTTCATGAGATCTGCAAGCAGATTCATCTTATAAAGACAACAGGGTGGAAGATGCCCCTGGGAAGATGCCACGCTCACCTTCTGGGTGCTGCGGTCGCAGTAGAAATAGATGGTTGTAGAGCGCTGGTACACCTTATGGCAAGTGTCCCCCCCAGTGTAGTTCATTTTTAACAACCCATTTTCATAAGTCAGTTTCTGAGTAAGGAGACCTGTCCAGGAAGAAGCACATCAAACAAGGTCTGGTTCAAGAAGTCCGCAGGTTGCCGTGCTTATATTACCAGAAGTCACGTCACGTCACGCATTCAGAGAGTTAGAAGATGAAGCCTCCTTGACCTACTGGCCTTGCACCACAGGCTCCTTGTCACATCACACGGGAGGAGGAATAAAACCAAGCCCTTTTCTTGCCCAAGGTTGCAACATGATAGACAAATCATGGCACAATGACATCCTAATCAGGTAAGAGAACGTCAACTCTTCTACGCACGTAAGGGCTGCCACAAACTCACCTTGTTAGCTATCTCAGCTTTACTTTTAAGAGTTCTTAAACTTATTTAAATCTTGCCTGACCGCTGAGAGAGCATAAATGACCAACAGTCTGCCCTGAAAGTTTTATAAACCCCATACTAAATGCATCCTCTTTGACTCAATTCTAGAAAGTACTACACCTCAGAACACCCGTTACTGGCTAGCTCGGTGTGTCCCAATGTTGTGATAAAGAAATATGATCTTACAGCCAGTGAGTTATACGGCTGAACAAGAATAAAATGAACATATGCTAACAACACTCCTCATGTGTATTCTGGGTAAGAAAACCAAGTGACACCAGAAACAGTAACATGTGGTTTCACCAGAACGTAACAGTCATTCCTCCTCCTCGTCAAGAGAAATGCCATCTTCGGCAAATCTTAAAATTTAATTCTACTCTTCCGCAGCAAAAGCAGAGGAAAAGATGATGTACCTGCCACTCTCTGAAATCCCTGCGGTCCCCGCTTTTCCTGACAGGATGACACCTCCTTGGACCTGTCACTGGTGGGGCAGATGCCTGGGGAGAGCTTCGCACAGACCCGGAAGTAGTAGGTGTACTCGCCGGCAAGCACGACGGTGTCATTGAGGGCCAGAGGCTTCAGGTCATACACATTGCCGTGCCGTGGGTCTTTAACCTCGCAATTGTCTCCTTTGAGAAAACATAAAAAGCCAAGGGTACTGTAAGTGCACGTGCATTCACCTTCTAGCAGAAGGCTTCAGAAATTTTAATCAGGTTAGCACCATCTTAAAACGGGCATTAAAAGCCATTTCCACATTACTTTGTTTATATACAACACAAACTGCCTGACGAACAGCTTTCTAGAAAAACTTAGGCCTTCTTCATCAAACAAAACACAACAAAACAAAACCCCACATTAGTGTTTTCAAGTGTGAGAAGACAAAAACCCATCAACCCAGGAATGTAAGGTAAATGTCACTGGTAAAATTAGCAATGTATTAGAGTAAAAAGCTCAGAGATAAGAAAGTATCTGTCCACTTATATGCATTTCACGATCCCACATGCGACCATTACAGGGTTTCATGTCTACGTTACTGTTTAGAACATCTGCTACTTTAAACACGTATGACGGCTTGTAAAGGACAGGCCCGGCTCTCACCTTCCACTCTGACAACAGGACAGGCTTCCACCGTTCTCCAGACAAACACGTACTCACAGTCATCCAGGAGCTGAAACGTTGGTGATCCCTATAATATAAAACAGTTTACTTGTTTTTCCATTTATTAAAAAAAAAAAATCAAATGATAGCCACAATTTAACCAATCTTTAACCTCCAGGAGCAAAATATATAGTATCTATTAAACATCTAAGACCTGGGAGAAAATAACACATTCTAGTTAAACCCTACCAATGACCAAATATCCGTGAAAAGACAGGCAAGTTTTGGAAAAGACATTAGATTCAGAGGTGGAAGGGCCATGGGAAACGGAAGTAGCCACAGACAACACGCACCGCTATCTGAGAACACTCGAACGTTATCCTGGTGGAGTAACGCTGGTTCCCACACTTGTCTCCATTGACATACACGATACTCAGGGACCCATTGGCCGCGGCTTGTGGACTGATCTGTACCACCCCCAGGTTCCAGCTGTTGTCTTCTGATACCAAGCAGGACCCCACTGCACTGCCTGAAAGATCAGTAGAGTAGGTTTTAGGGTGAGAAATAGGAGGGCAGGGAGGTTGGCCCTGAGTCAAATGTCGTAATGACACGAACAGATTAAATAAGAAGACTAGCCGGAGCTCACCACCACAGCCGGGAATGTAAGGCAGAGGATTGCAGACGCTCAGGTAAAAAGTCCTCTTTTTTCCATCATCTGAGGTGTCAACAGCAGTCCAAGGCTTCCTGACTGTGCTTAAGCCGCTGAGATCATACTCGTTTCCAGCTGGGTCTGAAACACACCGAGCACATGCTGCAAAACTCTGCCTTCTTGTTAGCCCTGGAGAAACCTCTCACCCCGAGGACAGACTGCTGAGGCGCAAACTTGACATTTCTGACTGTGAGAGACAAGGAAGTCCACAGGAGGTTGAGAGACTCTGCCTACAGAAACACACCCCCGCCGTGTCTCTCAAAACGTCCCTCCAGCAGGAGGCACCGTCGCCCTGGAGGCTGCGGGCCAACCTCAGCTGCAGGGTCCAGGGGATGGCGTTTTAACGTCTTTTTCTGCCTCTAATAAGAGGCTTTGGCAGTGTGCATTTGTTTTTTTTTTTCCTCTGAGTTTTTTTCTGTGTTCTTAAGCAGCATCTGATCCCAAAACATAGCTTGAAACAACTAATTATGTGTCCGAATTCTCTTCAAGAGAAACATTACAACTCTAAGTATCACTCAAAGGAAATATGTAACACACGTCATGCTGCCTGTAAAACAAAACACACACACCATACACAAACACGAATATCCACACACAGACATACGTACACAGACACTCACACCCATATACGCTCTCATACACACACACTCCCGACCAGCCTATTAATTCTCAGACTTTACAGCCTTACCGGTCACTTGGCAATCCACTGGAGAAGGGACACAGGCTAACGCAGTTTCAAACTCAAAGAAAGTGTTGCGGATGCCCTGCCCAGAGCTGATGTACTGATGCAGGAATTTTGAGGTTCCTGGGTAAACATCATCATTGCAAACAAAGCGGATGATGAAAGCATCAGCAGTGCCTGGGGAAACAAGAAGGCCCCATTTTAAGAAACCAGAACAGTATGCACGACACAGCCCATAAACATAGCAGGACAACGCCACCACCACAGCGAGCCTCACAGCTGCCCTCCGAAGCAATCCCGCCAGGGCACTATGTCAGCAGACTTGACCTGAGCACAGAGGGGCCTCACACTGATTGCAACAGTGACTTGCGTTATGATGGGTTTACACCATGAGCTAACATCCTGGCATTCTTATTCTCTCAGAAAGTACTCAATTCCCGCATCAGGTTATCAATCCGAAGATCAGAAAACAATGTAACTGTCATCTCTTGACTTATTCAACAAATACTCAACGCCTGCGCCATACAGGAGAGAGAGAAGCGGAGGACATGCCTGCCCTCACATGTGCTAGCTGTCCAGGAACAAAGGCTGCACAAGGCCCTCTCGTTTCAGATGCAGGGGCCAGCGGGAGTGAGGGGAAGGGCAGAGGTGATAAATCAGAGAGCCCCGATGGGCGTGCTACAGCCTCTGTGAGCGCTGGCTTCCACTGGAGGTGCAACGCGGAGCCACCAGAGGGCTCTGAGCTGGGAGTGACATGATCCAACATCCAACAGACATCACTCTGACTGCTGTGTGGAAGACAGACTATCCCGCGAGGGCAAAAGCAGGAAGACCGTTGAGGTGGCTCCTGCAGCCAGGTGGACAGCACAGGCTGCAGTGGAGCAGGGGGCTGCAGCTGTAATGAGCAAGCCTCTCCTAGTTGTTTAACTCCCATGATGACCTGCGAGGGGCCGGGGAGCACGGAGTCCCCATCCCACACGAGGGACTGAAGCGAAGGGAGGCAAAGCAGCAATCCTGAGGTGACACAGCTCTAAGTGCTGCTGCTGCAGCCCAGAGGGCTCGGGCTGGATGCAAATCCAGCAGCCCACATGTGGTGACCGTGTCAACCACATGACCATGCTGGTCACCCTGAAATATACACAATGATTTTCAAAAAGGAAATCCTATACACATGACTGACCTATTTCATTTTAAAACAGTACTGTCAAACTGGAGAGCAAAAGAATTATGAAAAGAAAGAAGCATGTTGCTTTTTGGTCAAATAGTGGCCGGCTTTATGAGCAAGAGTTTAAGAACCTTCATCCATAAAGCAAAGGATTACCACCACCCCATCACTACCCTGAGCTCGCCAACTCCATCAGGAGGATTCCAGCGGCAGCTTTCCCTTCCAGAATACCTCCGTCCCTGGGCTTCGGCATCAGTTTCCATTACTATCTTTAGAAAGGACTGTGTCAGAGCTCAGTGAGGTTAGGCACTCTGCCGCAGCACTCACGAGAAAATCACATGTCTATGAAGTTCTTCAAGAGGAAATGAACGTGGCTAGAACCACATGGGATGAACAGAAACAAGAGCGATACACTCTACGCTGCGCCCTTGAGGTGGACACTCCACATGTGCTGGTCACCTGGAGGTGGCTCTTTCCTCCCGAGGCAACCAACACATCCACCCACTTTGTCCAGCTCTACTAAAAAGTTCTCCTTTAAATCAACTAAAATAATCTTGCTGTAACTTTGATCTTGGGTCCAAATCCTCCCCTACAAATTATACAGAAGAAACCTAACTTCTTTTCAAAAGGACTACCCTTCAGAGATCTGATGGCACCTGGGCTCATGTAGATAGAACACAGGGTCAAGGGACAGTTATTTAGGATGGCAGTAACACTACTTTAAATAGCATTAGGATAAAAAGCCGATAGAGAGGGAGAGTTTGAAATTATGGGACAGAAAAAGTATGTGTCTTCAGTATATGGCACAGGATAGGATCCCTGTAGCACAGGTTTAAGGACTTGCTTTGAGTAAGAAAGTAATCATCTGGAAATAAACGGTTCTGAGGGCTTTAAGAGGAGAGTCTGTCTCTCTCTCTCTCTCTGCTTCCACCATCTTGCAATGTGAGACCCCTGGGTCACTGTTGCCACCACCAGATGGACTTTGGACTTCCCAGTCTGAGAAAACTATAAGCAATAAATTTTGTTTTCTGTATAAATCACCTAGTTGCAGGTATTTTGTTACAAGCAACAAAAGTGGACTAATAAAATTATCATTCCATTAAAAATAAGTTAAGTTTACAGTAGTTGTGGAAATGAAGTAGAATATGGTCTTTGGTACGAAGATAAAGACTTTTCTTTTTATTATTTTTTTTGTCCTTTTTGAGACCAGCCGCACCACGCTCAGCCAGTGAGCGCACCGGTCATCCCTATATAGGATCCGAACCCATGGCGGGAGCGCCACTGCGCTCCCAGTGCCGCACTCTCCCGAGTGCGCCAGTGGCTCGGCCCAAGAAAGACTTTCCTATGTCTGTTCAGTGTTAACAGACAATGAAAACAGCACTCAGGACTACATATTATTAGTGTTTTTCTTAAAGACCAAAATTTCCTCCTTAAGCAATGGCCAATAAAACTAGACTCCTCTCAAGTGCTCTTGCAGTCACATGAGCTGCGTGCAGGGTGATCACAGAAATCAGAGGCAGGTTCCCCTTCCTTCCTCCAAAGTCCTGCCTGTACATTAATGACAGAGCTGAGAGAAGCCTGGGCCCTGCTCCACATCCCACAGCCCCGCATCTGCATGCCCTGCATTCGGTGGTGCTCAGGTCCCACCAGCGTGGGGAGGATTAGCTGTGGCAGCTGAGCCCAGCGGGATAGGGTGGCGGAAACCCAGGTGGCTCTGCCTGTGATGCCAAGTGGTCGGCTCATGGGCAGTGGTGTCCCAAGCTCTCCTGGCAGCACATTGGCTGGGCCCGAATCCCAGGAGCAGCCTGGAAGCCTTTCCAATCAAATCCATTTCTGCTTTTTGACCCAGAGTCAGTCTCTGTTGTCTGCAACCGAGAGCCATGATATGCAGATGCCACCTGCTAACGCCCCTGCTGGTGCACAAGGCAGAGCCTCTCCAGCCTGTCTCTAGGGTTCTTTATGAGGTTCAATGAAGTTCTCGCCTGCCTCTCACAAAGTACAGGCAACTAAGTACACGCTTACCTATTATACACTAACGAGTATGACCAACAGTACTAGAACTAATTTTTAATACGGAGGCCATTATCAAACACATTATGAAATGGAGAAAATCCCTTTTTTAAAAATGCTGGAGGACTGGGGGATAGGAGGACACAAAGTGCTGCGAAGGGACAAACCCCGTTCAGGTGTTTTCCTGGGCTGTGGGTCAACCTGTATGCTCTTCTGTATGTGGCATTTTACCTACAAAGTTCTTCTCTGCATCAAATTTTTACAAAACATTCTCATCCCAATTTCCTGTTTGCAAGCTTAATCAAAACCAAGATTTTTAAAAAGCTTTCTCCCTTTCTAGCAGTGCTTAGTTTATAAATGAACGGCATTAACTTACAGATTTTCCACCTTATGGCTCCAGACATACCATCACGCTGTCTATGAAGGAAGTGCTGTCAGAAGATTCTAGAACACAGCTATTCAGGTCATTTCCCTTTTACAGAGTAATACAATTACAATTTCCTCATAACTAGTGGTTCTCAAACTTCACTGGGCATCACCTGGAAGCTTTGTTAAATCAGACTACTACCCCCACTCCACCTGCGAGTTTCTGATTCGCGAGGTCCAGGGTGGGCCTGAGAATCTGTATTTCTAACAGTTCCCAGGTGATGCCCAGGTGATGCCCTGGAGACAGCAACTCAACACACAGCAAGGGATCAGAAATAACAGTCCTCACGTCTGCCAGGACGGTGGGATGGTTTTACTTATTTTCCCCTCAAATCTGTATTTCTCATCTCCTCCCAGGTAACAGCTGCCATCACACAGCGCCCAGGGTTATTAGGACACCTGCCTCCTGGAATCACCAACTGGAGGCGACTTCAACACACTCTCTCTTTGATTCAAAGCAAACTGGAGATGCATATTGCTCTTACCACGAAAGTCTTCCCAATGCCCGAGACCACGTATCCTTGAGAACTGTTTAGTGGGTTGAGATTAAATACAAATCCACTGTTGGGATCTCTTATAGAGCAAGCCTACAGGAAACAAAAAGGGGGGAAAGGGACACATTCAAACCAATTGCACAGAAACACCAGATATAGAAAAAACACCTTCAGAAATTTGCACGTATGCACTTTACAGAACTAGGTATTTCTCCTTTCACTTTAAAAATCCCTATCAAAATGTAGCCCTGTGCACTGAGCAGGCCCTTCAAACACAGCACCTTAAGTGTGCCAAGTGTGATGACAGACTCAGACACTAAATTTATCTGGAAGCTATTAAGGCTATTGTATTTACCTGAGTAGGATGACTGCCTAGTGCTAATCCCTACCGGGAAAGTTAAGTGAGAACCGTAGATCCATAACTAATTTTTTTAAAAAAAATCTTAAGGAACGTTCTTACGTTCTGTTTCTGCTTCAATTATTCACTTAAAGGTGGTGGCAGGAATTATGATCAGGTAACTCTCAAACGATCTCCTCTCCTCTTCCAGGTTAATGAGCATTGCCCTGGGCTTCCCCATGTCCACCAAATGCAGGGAATGGGGCAGTGGTCACAGCCCCTGGAAACATTGGCCTTGGACAGGGTGCCTGCCATTCCCACCCTCACTGAGGACCCACGAAGCTGGGACCCTGCGCTGGGGCCACTCTTTTGGAAAAGCCATGGTCTGTCTCTGCTGCCGAAGAGTCTGCAGTCTAGCAGAGAGTTTAAAAGGAGGAGGAAGGGAAACACGTCCCTCCATTAAAAAAATACACACAGTACTGTGAAAACAGGTCACTACCCTGGGGAGCTCAGAGGAACATCACAGAGCAGCTTATTGCTACACTCTGCAGGAGGGCGTTCAACGGGGGAGAGCGTGGACAGAGGCCAAAACAGTGGGACAAGCCCGGGAGCTGCTGCAGACACACGGCCGACACAGGGGAGCCTCAAGGAAACGCGGCTGGAATCGGCACTCGGAGCCTCAGGCAGACATTAAACACGCGGGCTTTACTCTAAAGATAGGATCACACCTAAACATACGGGCTTTACCATCTAGGCAAGAGGCAATGAAAAGTTTTAGTGTGACGTGATCTATTAACCTGTCATACCTCTGCCAGTGACTGGAGAATGCCCAGAGCCTACCAGGATGCCACTGCCACATGGAAGGGACAGTGGAATGGAGAAGTAAGGTGTGCAGGGAATAAAACTGAGGGTCCTGGCATTTACCGAGACCTGGGAGTTGGGGGTGGGGGAAGGAATGCAGGATGGCTTCAGATGCCTACTGTCAACACGGAGAGGATGGTGATGCAGTGACTGATTCAGAAAGCGGGGCGGGGGTCAGTTCAGAGCTGGGACACCCGGGTGGAGATGTCCGTCAGACAACTCAGAGAGATAACCAGGTGACAACACACATACCTGGTCTGTGTCAGTCATGGTCTGGATGGGACAGGCAGCCTCTGTATTCCACAGGAAAGTGACCACACACTCCCAGTTGAGAGAAAAGATGGGATGGGTGTTCTGAAAGGTCAAATCCAGGGTAAGAGTCAATACAATGACATAGACATTGATCTAATCGCAGGAATACCAGACTTATACTTAAAAATAGCTAAAATCTAGTGAATGTTTATTATGTGTCAGTTGATAAGCTAGGTACTTAATGTGTATTATCTAATTACAATTTAATGCTCTCATCATTCCTATGAAGGAGATATTATCTCTTATGCTTGGATATTAAGATATTTAGAAATCATGCCAGGAGTAAATGGTAGAATTGGGATCCAAACCTAGGTTGAGTTCAAGTCCATGCTTTTGAAAAACGCTCTACACCAAAAGCTGAATGTAAAAAACCAGACACAAAACACTAGAGTATGTATGATTTCACTGACCTAAGCTCAGAATTAGGCAAAACTCATCTATGGTGTCAGAGGTCAGAGGAGGGGTTTAGTAGTGACAGGAAGGGGCCACAGGAAGGCTTCTAAGTGGTGCTAATGTTCTGTTTGTTGATGTGGCTTCTGGTTATACAGGTGTGTTCAATTTGTGAAAACTCCTCCAGAGGTTATTAACTTATAATTTGTAGGCTCTACTGTGTTTGTTTCAACAGAAAGTTTCCCCACAGAGTGCCACACTACTTCTCCGTCGGGGCACCACCTCCATTCTGGGTGACAGCAGCTCACACTCTGAAGTGTTGGTAGCACACCAGGCACTACACTAGGAGTTTATGAGAACACAATGACCCACAAAACTAGCTTCTTTAGGTATCCACAACCCAGAGATGAGGAGACTGAGGCACAGAGAAGGAAAGACACCTGCCCAGGGTCACAGGTTGTAGTGGATTGAATTATGTCCCCCAAAACCCCCTGAAGCTTGAACTGGGTCCCCCAAGTTTTAGGTGTTAGAAACTTGCCCCCCACTGTGACTGTTAAGAGGGTGCTATACGGTAATTGAAAGGTAGAGCCTTGAAGAAGTGATTGGATTGTAGAATCATGCTGTAGTGAATGGATTAAAAATGGTGGTCAGGGGTGTGGTTCTGAGGGCCTTAAAAGAAGAGGAGAGTCTGTCTCACTCTCTCTGTTCTCTCTGCTTCCACCATTTTGCAACGTGAGACCCCTTGGGTCACTGTTCCCACCACTCAATGGACTTTGGACTTCCCAGCCTCAGAAACTGTAAGCAATAAACTTGGTTTGCTTTATAAAATACCCAGTTCCATGTATTTTGTTATAAGCAACAGAAACAGACTAATCCAGCGGATCTCACTCTCTCTGTTCTCTCTGCTTCCACCATTTTGCAACGTGAGACCCCCTGGGTCACTGTTCCCACCACTCAATGGACTTTGGACTTCCCAGCCTCAGAAACTGTAAGCAATAAACTTGGTTTGTTTTATAAAATACCCAGTTCCATGTATTTTGTTATAAGCAACAGAAACAGACTAATCCAGCGGTTAAGGAACAAAGGTCATCTGACCCTGAGCCCACACCCTCACCTACCAAGGGCTCACTAACCTGTAAGTCCCCACCCTCTCGTAGTGTCAGAAGCTCTAACAGTAAAATAAAAACATAATGGCTCCTTCTGCCTCACAATGTGGTTGTGCAAAGTGACTGAGCTTTATCCTATGATGGTTCTGTGACTTGCAAAACTCTCTGTGAAATGTGGCCCTCTTTATTCACTCAGTGGGGATTTCCCAAGCCCACACTGTACACCAGGCCCTATCAGGGCAAGAGATACAGTGACAATGTGAAATTACTCTAAAAATTAAGAATGTATCACAAAAAAGCTGAAAAACTAAGGGCCCACGAGAACTTTCTGGAACTACCCACTATCTCAATGGCAACGAAACAAGAGAGGGAAGGGGCAATGCACAGGCGAGACTTCCAAGAGGGGACACAGAGATTGCCAGCTTGGCTGGGCATCGGGGGTACACCTGTGGAATCCAAGAATCCATATTTCTTCCCAGGATGGAGAAGAAAATGGGCCACCCAAGCACAGGCGAATCAGAGGAGTGGTGTTTACAGTCTCATCGATGGAACACCTTCCTCACAGAGCTCAGGCCGTGCTTAGCCAGCCAGTCATTTCATTCCCTTATTGGACAGATGTGCTTGAACCCTAAAGAAAGTACCTTAGAAAAAAGTGTGTTAAATGACGAAAAGCAGTTGGGTGTCTGCAAGGTGAGGCCTCTGCTCAGGACAGGGCATACCAGCCCCATCAGTGCCAGTGCAGGGCACTCGCAAAGGCTCAGGGTAAGACTCGTGACCTCTCCATTCTCTCTTTCCATGAAACTTCTGAAGTTCCCTCATAACAGTTGATTCGTTAATCATGGTAGTTACATTCTATAAAGTCGCTGCGGACAATAAATTACCCGGTACTGAACCACTGTTCCCAGAGAATTAAATTATGTTGTGTGTGTGTGTGTGTGTGTGTGTGTGTGTGTGTGTGTGTGTGTGTGTATCTCATGTAGATTATATTATACTCTTATATCCTAAAAACAACTCATGCTGACATTCCATTTCATTTTACAAAAGGGAAATGAGGCTGGGAATGTTAAGTGCCTTGCCTGAGGTTGCCCCACTAACTCTGCCAGAATTGGGGTTCAAATCCTATCCAGGTGGCCCCATGCCACAGCTGCTTGCAGTGCCCTGCCCCCACCCTCTGGTCATCTCAGAGGGCACAACAAGAGAGCAGAGTACTGTCTTTTCAACCTCAACTAGGAACGCACATGTTGGGCCACTACACATGCCCAAGAATGACCAAGAATGCATTCTGTGTATTGACTTCGGGGTTACAAATATTAATGAGTGAATTCATGAATACAGAATCTGTAAATTAATGAGGGCCGACTATACTTTGAGGTCATTGCTCCAATAAAAAACACACGTATGGGTGCAAGTACACACAGCCAGAAACTCAATTCCCTTTTTTTTTTGGCAGCTGGTGGTATGGGGATCCAAACCCAGGACCTTGGGTTTTTAAGGCTGCATTCTAACCAGCTAAGCTAACCAGCCAGCCCTGGGAACTCAATTCTTAACCACCAGAGTTCATTCACCACCTTTCTTTAAAAAACCCTCATGCCTTGGTGGGACTAAATTAGTGCAGCCATTATGGAAAACAGTATGGAAGTTCTTCAAACAACTACAGCTAGAACTGCCATATGATCCAGCAATCCCACTGCTGGGTATATACCCAAAAGGAATGGAAATCATCATGTTGAAGGGATACCTGCACTCCCAGGTTTATCACAGCCCTATTTACAATAGCTAGGAGTTGGAACCAACCTAAATGTCCATCAATGGACGGATGGATGGATGGATGGATGGATGGATGGATGGATGAAGGAAAACGTGTATATACACAATTGGAATACTACTCTGCCAAAAAAAGGAATGAAATTCTGCCATTTGCAGCAACATGGACAAACTTAGGGAAAATTATGTTAAGTGAAATAAGACAGGTACAGAAAGAAAAATATTACATGCCCTCACTCCTAAGTGGAAGCTGGAAAAAAAGAAACAAACAATCACCATAATAATTCCTTGAATTTTCAAAAGGAGAGAACAGAACTGAGGCCACCAGAGGTGGGAGGGGGAGGGGGTTAGAGAGAAATTGGTAAAGGGCCACAAAAAATGTTTCCATTGTGTAATGATAAAAGAAAAAAAAATTTTTTTTAATTAAAAATAAATTTAAAAAATAAATAAACCTTCATGCCACCTTTAACATAGGTCAAGAAAAGTACATTCCCAACATGCTTTTTTACAGAAGCCAAATTCCAGAGCACACATACATCTTTATTTTAAGATTCACCATGTACAACCACCACAAGGAAACATGCAAAAGTTCTGGCACTAAGGGCAGGGAATCGGATGGTGAAACACAGCTCAGCACCCCAAGAGAGAGCTAACACTTCCAGCTAGTTCATCCACAGCAACTCTCCGAGTTTTCCCCTTAATTAATCCAAAAGCAAGAGCTTTTGAATGCAAAAAAACGTTCACGGATGTCTGCTGAAGTGCTCAGAGACACTTTTGAGTTCAGGCTAGACAGACCATCAAGAGCTTCCTCTGCCCTTCACTGTGACAGAAGGTTGTCAACACCAAGGCATTTTCTTTTTTAAGTTTTAAAGCTGAACAATGGATAAGTATGATATGCATCTGTCAGGAGGCAGATTAGTTTACGCACAGTCCCCGATCGTATTCAGAGGGCTCCACTTGAGCAGCCAGACCTACTCTGAGCTGGGAGTCCCAGAATAAGCACCTCTACCCCACCCAGTCGTGCACTTAGGAGGGAAAACGAGACAAGCAGTGGAAGACAGACTCACTTGGTTTTTCTCATATCTCATCTGGCAAGCCGATGCATTACGATCACAGCCGGGCACAGGGTTCAGGGGCCGACACACGTTTATGTAGTATTTCCTCCACGTGACATGTGGCCCAGAGTGGTCCATGGAATACCAGTTTCCTCCACGACCACCTTCAGATTTTGCTAGACTAAAATTTCAAAGCAAAATGTACGCTTTTAAAGACCTTACACATTTCAGTGTGACATTTTACTTCTAAGCAGTTACAGAACTAAAGACATATCAAACGAAGCACGTGCTACCAAACTACATTAGTTGGCTTACCATGACTCACAACGCACCAAGATCACACCTGACCCTCAGTATACTCAGTATGCAACAGACCTTAAAACTGTCTCCCACACCTCTATGTTAACACTCACTGTTTCAAATGACGAAGCTAAAGACAGGCTTTGCTATGGCAAAGACTGGTTGATATCACAAAGGCTACCAGACCATTACAGATGCTCAACTTACCATGGGGTTACAGCCTGACAAGCCCTGAAAATATAGCAAGTCGAAAATGCATTTAACACACCTAACCTATCAAACATCGTAGCTTAGCCTAGCCTACCTTAAACACACTCAGAACACTTACATTAGTCTACAGCTGGGCAAAACATCGAACACAAAGCTTATTTTATGACAGTGTTGACTCTCTCATGAAATTCACTGAACACAGTACAGTGTACAGTACAGTATCAGTTGTTAACTCTCGTGATCGTGTGGCTGACCAGGAGCTGCAGCTTGCTGCTGCTGCCCCACATTGCAAAGCAAAATCGAACAGCATAGGAATCAAAATTCAAAATTTTAACTCCTGTTTCTAATGAACGTGTATTGCTTTTGCACCACTTTAAAGTTGAAAAATCATAAGTCAAACCACCATAAGTTGGGGAGCATCTGTGTTAGAACTCATTCTGCTTAAAATTCCCCATCTCGGTCTTGTACCCCAAGAGCGAACACTCTTACTGTCAGCTCAGTTACACACTCCCTAGCAACGCCTAAGTGATCTCAGCAACTACACCGGACCCAGAACCAGGATGGGCTGACCCCCACCTCACCTGGAGAGATCGTACTGCTCCAACGTGGAGGGGTCAGTCACCACACACTCCAGGGGCTCCTCGGGGCAGGCGTAACTGGTGTACCACCGGAAGTTGTAGGTAGAATTGTCCTCTTCCTATAGCATGACAAGGAGAGAAATGAAGAGGGATGGCAAAAAAAAAAAAAAAAAGAAACATTACCCTAAGCCAGCATTCAGAAAATGACAAGGGCATTGCTTTAAATAAAAACTGTATGAAAATTTACTTTGCCCATCTCCTTTCACTTTGTCAAAGGAACACTGCCCAATAATAAATGAAAATGGAAATTTAGTCTCTCAACTGGGAATGAAGGAAGGTTTTTGATGTTTTCGTATGTTTTGTACCCAAAACCAACAGGGCTATGGGCTATCACCGAGGTATATGGCCCACTGAACAAACAGTTTAAAAAAATGGATACTGCCTATGTACCCCGGCAGACCAAAAAGGATAATTAGGGTGATGATTTGGCCAGGAACCAGACTGACAGTAGCTCTTTTTCTAAAGAAAGGGCCCACAGCAGGTTTGTGTATCTCCAGGAAACACTGCACAGGACGATTCCTACCTGATATTCAGGGAAACCTACTCCAGCGTCTCGATCACAAAGAAAAGTGATAAGTGTGGCTCTGGGTGTGCGCTTTTCATTATTATAGGGCGTACCATCTTTGTAGTTCAACTGGATCATCCCATCATAATATGAAAGCTTAGCATTACTCAGTCCCAAGTTCCAAGTCTTCTTATCACTAAAATGAACACACAGACGTCTCTCAGCAAAGACCCGATAAGCAGAAGCACCAGAGGCTGCGGCTCAAGGGAACAGTCAGCGGGCAGCGCGCAGGCAGCCGGCCGGGCTACGAGCATGGCGCTGCCATGTTAGGGCCTCCAACTGCCTTTCCCACACCCAGTGGGATCCAGACCCACTCTCGGCACTGCTGACTTGAGGCACACCTCACTTCATTTCAATTAACACCACACGGGGTGAAGAGATTGGTACATAAATATCTAAGCACTAAGTGATGCAAAATACACAGAAATAAGGTATCATGTAAATCCAGTCTTCTTTCCCGAGGATGTGGCTCGCTCCTTCTCTGGGAAATGAAACTCCCAGCATCCTTCAGGTTTCAGGCCAGGTCCTCTCCGTGTTCAAACACTTGCCGTAAAGCAGTGATGTTAGGGGAGAAACACACCTATTCTTAAACGTTTGTGAGCACAGAACACCTAAAGATAAACCCCCAACTGGAGAGTTACTTGCCTTTTTGCTACCTGACAGGCTCCTGAGTCTGGCTGACAGGAGTCCACAGACACCGCACCACAAACATTTACGTAAAAGTCATACTTTGTCGTCTCAACTTTATAGGCACCATTTTTCTTTGTGAGAGGTGACAAATCAAAAGAAAACCCTAAGTGAGAATAAAAACAGTAAAAGCACGTAAGGTCAGTCAGAACGTAGTCAACAGGGTGACCTCGCCCCAGGTTCATGGGGAAGAATTCGTCCCAGGAGCTTCCCAGGGGCAGGAAGAAGTGAAGGGGCAGAAAAGCATATGCCCTTCCGGGCACAGAACTGCAGTTACCCACACCCACTGCTCCCCCTCACTGAGTTAACCTAAAACTCTGCTCAAAGCCCAGAGTCTAATAAATAACCAATATATTCAAAGTAGGAGACCCACAAAACAATGGCCTTCTTGAAAAGTCTCTCTGAGGCAGGCTTCTCGGCTAGAACTCACGCGAAAGCCTTTTCAGACAGGATCTATTCCCCCATGGTCCTGAGACTATGCATTCAGCAAACTCACCTCAACAATGAATTGAAGATGCTATTTTCAATATCTCAAATAAGACTCAAAACATCAGGTTTTGGAATATTGATCAAACAAAGCATTAATAAAATTTGAAAGCAGGCTGCCTCTAAAACACTCATAGAAAATGTTTAGGAAAAAAACCTTAAGAGTTCCAAGTGACACTGCACAGCAGAGGCGCTGCTGAGACACACACCTGCCTCGGCATCAAAGACCGTACAATTGTCTCCCTCCGTCTTGGACAGCACGCAGGCGGCAGCTGTGTGCCACTCAAACTCATAGAAGCAACCACTGTCCCCAGACGTCATCAGTACTGGAGCACTTTCCAGATCGCCTGTCAGTGGAGGAAAAAGACTGATCACTAATCCATTTGTTCCTGAAGAACCTTCCCTTATTCTTAAAAACAGATTTGGAAGAGGCAGTGGAAAATGAAGTACAACACACTGAGAGTCCCACATACACTGTCTGATTCCACTCACATGAGGCATCTAGAGTGGTCAAGTCTGCAGAGACAGAAAGTATAACCGTGACTGGCGGGGGCTGGGGGGAGGGAGAAATGGAGAATTGGTGCTTAATGGGCATAGAGGTTCAGTTTGGGAAGATGAAAAAGTTCTGGATATGGACGTGGTGATGGCTGTACAATAGCGTGAATGTACTTAACGCCACTGAACTGTGCACCTAAAAATGGTTAAGATGACTGATTTTATATTATGCATACTTTATTACAATTTTTAAAAAATGACTAAGATAAAAAAAAAAATGACTAAGATGATAAGTATTAGGTCATGTATGTTTTACCACAGTAAAACAAACAAACAAAACTGGTCCTAGCCTTTGACCTTATCCCACAGCAAGGAATTTATCCAAAGGAAACATTTCAGCAGGAGGTAGAGCAAGGACAGGTAATAGCACAATCAGCAACACTGGAAACATGCTTTTAATCTAACAATAGAGAAAATGTCTAAAAATAGTAACACCAGGCCATGTCAACAAGGAAGGCCCTAAAAATTATAAATAGGATTGTGAAACAGAGAAGAGTGTTCACAAAATACCACATTTTGAGGAAAATTAAACTGTGTGATGTGCAGGCTGAGTATCCCTTACTGGAAATGCTTGGGACCAGCAGTATTTCAGATTTCAGATTTTTTTGCATTTTGGAATATTTGCATTAGACTTACTGGTCGAGCAACCCAAATCCAAAAATATGAAATTTGAAATGCTCCAGTGAACATTTTCTTTGAACGAGATTGTTGGTGCTCCAGAAGTTCCAGATTTTGGAGCATTTCAGATTTCAAATTTTCGGACTTGGGATGTTCAACCCATACTAGAGGTCTTCAAACAGTTCATGAAAAGATTCATATTAACTTTTAATCCTATTTTTCCACAAACTTTTTGAAGTATCCTCGTATATATATTTTGAGTCAGTAAAAACAACGTAAATACAAAGGCAAGTAAAAACGAACATTGTGTCTAAATGGTGAGATCACAGGCAACATTTTAAAACCATTTATGATTTCTCCCCCCTTGGAGGAAGTTAAGCAGCCTGCATGACTGACCCCATATCAGTCCTAAGGAAGAGGAAGCCATGCTAAGATTCACAACACATTTGCAAAATTACAACACAACTCCCTTTTGACACTATATGGTTTCTCCATTTCTGGATTGGTTCTGGGCCGGGGGGATGGGGGGAAATCCAACTGACCCATCTCCCATCACCAAAGATTCTGGAACCTAAGTGTTCAGCACACCCTTTCCTATCTGATCACCTTGGCAGTGGCCGAGGAAGAGTAGAGAAATAAAGTATACAGGCACACCTGTGGCAAAAGCCACTAAAACATTTCTTTTTTAAAAAATTTGTACCTGGCTTGCACACAAGTGTGATATTAGTTTTTATTTTCTTGTCCACACCACAAACATCACCATCTGAATAAGAGAGTTGAATGTTTCCTTTCTCTTTTGTGGGAGGAGAGACAAATTTTCCCAGATTTTTACTTCTGTTCTTATCTGGAAAAGAGAAGGGGGATGGGGGACAGAAGACATGTTTAAAAGTGATCATGACACAGACAAAGAGGTTCAAAAATCAGCCAAAACCCAGCCGTGCACCAAGGCCCCTCCTCCAGCCCGCCTAACCCAGCTGAGATGGTTAATGGGTTTTCTTGAGTGATGCATTTGGCTGGGCGGTCACAGCCATATTGAGGACTCAAGGCCACTCCCAGGCTTAGCAGGAAAGTGCCACGAATGACACACAACGTCCTCCAAGCACGAGACAGAATGGCCAGCGTGTGTGTCATGACCATCTGTGAAGTAACACTATCCTCTATTTTCAGGGCCTCAGCTACCCCGAGACACAAGGTCTTTTGAAAGCAGGCCCACGGAGTAAAAGTCTGTCTCATGACCAAAGCAGAAACTAACTAAACCTGCTCAGCAACCCAGGCAGGTGGCCACTTAGTTCTTGCTTCAGTTGCTTTTCTATAAAGTATTAAAACTCTGTCCCCAAGTCCTTCTTAATGAAGACATGGAGGTGTCTGAACCTGCTTTTGAAGACACACCACCAATTCTGAATACAGAGTAATTCCTAAAATCTAACCAAGGCTTGCAATTCCTTATCAAATGTTTATAACAGATTCTCATGACCCATCACCTGGAATTTTCAAGGTGTGTCTTAAATGACAACAACTAATGTGCTAAATATCTATATCAAATTGAGAAGTCTCTGTATGACAACTCAGGACCAAAATAATTAAAAAGAAGCTAAGGGTATAATACTCTTATACAAAGGCTACGACTGAGATTCCACCACCCTTAACGTCATAATAACTTTTGAACAATTTCGGGCAGTAAAGTTGTTTAAAAAAATCAAAATCAGGGCCGGCCCATGGCTCACTTGGGAGAGCATGGTGCTGACAACACCAAGTCAAGGGTTAAGTCTCCCTTACCGGTCATCTTTAAAATAAATAAATAAATAAATAAATAAATTGAAATCAGTTTTATGCAGTACTGGCAATGTTACTCTTCAGGTTACAAAATGAAAAGATGGTAAAATATTTTCCAATGTGGTTTTTTCTGTTCCCAGTTATGGCTTTGGCCAACTTCAGGATTTCAAAGTGCACCAAGCAGTCACCGATATTTGAGACATTAAAATCTTTCTCTTTATCATCTTTTATATGTTGAACCCAGAAAGAGGGGGCTTAGATACACCACAGAAGGATTTTCCAATTCACTCCAAACTGGATACAACCCAGTTCTGCACGCCTTTAGGGCAACAGTCCCTGGGAGCGTCCCTTAGGCTCAGCTCACCTACTGCACACACAGCAGCATCTTCAGGACAGCCTATGGCCTTGCCTTTCTGCAGCACTCTGTGACAGATGTTAATGAAAAAATGCTTCTTTTCTGTTTCTGTCTCGCTGCCATCCACGGCTTCCCAATTCTGTTCCGATTCTGTAACAACAACAAATTTCTCTTAGCCAAAGGCAATGGTTATTCTCTGTGAGTGACATCATAAATGTAAATTAAGCCAAAGATCAAGAACCCAAAGTCACTAAGCATTCGGTCACTAAATTCCCCAGAACCAGCAGAACAGCATGGCACTGATAATGCACCTGCTTCAAACCCCTGGGAAGGCCCACATAGCTGAAAGGAGCTGTGACCTCTCACACATACACAAACGGAGAGCAGCACATGGGCTAGGAGCCATGGAAGGCAAACGAGGTGGATATGGTCGCTGAACTCACCAGGCTCACAAGCCAGCAGAGTGAACAGACACTGATCAGAAACCTCCAGGAGGCAGTGCTAAGAGCACAAAAGCAAACCATCCCACAAACAGTCACTGAAGGAATAAACTAGAATTGTGTGTGAAAGAGGAGGTAAAGGTAGAAAAATATATGTTCTTATTTGAAAACGCTCTTTCTGCAGGTGGGGGACTGGGGTTTAGAAGGCAAAAACCCAAAGCTCATCAGTGGTAATGCAGTACTTTTGTAGGACTACATTCCCACATCAACAGCCTAAAAGAAACCATACAACACTGTGCACGTAAACAAGGACCTGCCCTAAATGCTGAAAGTTTGTGTTGAAGATGGTAAAGTCATAAAAGGGAGACTTTAAGCAGCAGGAAAGGACATCAGCTCTCACCTCAGCTTCCTTAGGGTGATCTACATGCAAATGCTAGAGAAAGACTACAGATTCCTGGAGAACCAGAGCTGTGTCAGGAAGTGTGAGTAAGTGTGTCTCTGCATCCCCCACAGACCCTATGTTGTGTCTCATACATAGTGATGTTATTTAAAAAAAAAAAAAAAAAAAAAAAGTTTACTCGAGGTATGTAATAACAGCCACTGAGCTTACTCTAAGAAACTCAGGTCTGGAGAACAACTTGCTCCGGCAAACACTGTTGGAGGCAGCAACACGAGCCTCCGACCAGGTCTCTGATTCTGAGACTGGAGCTCTTTCCACTTCCTAGACAGCCAATCTCTTCATCAGCACAAATGCACCGGAATTTAAGCAAGGCACCATCCCCAACAGCGTAGAGGACGTTTACCTCCTAGAGTACAGAGCATTTACTGCCAAGACAACTCATTAACATACGGCATTTATGTGGAGCTACTGTGTCCCATGTTCAAAGGAAAGCTCTCAAACATTCCACAAAATACAAACTCCTCCTTCAAACATTGTGCTTTCCAGACCAGATGGGACTCAAAAGACATGAGTGACAGTCCTGTTGTAGCTGGTAACTATGCAACTCTATGCAAGTCCTTAGGTGAGATCTCCCCCTTACAGACACGCGACCGGCTTCTATGTACCTAATTCTAGGGCTGCTAAAACAATAAAACCAGAAATCCCTCCGCAAGATCAGGTTATCCCTGTTAGAAGCTCCCATTATTATTCTGTCTTCTCTGTTTCCTGCTAAATTCCAAGCCCCATGAGGGCAGGGCTTGTGCTGTCAGGATCACTGCTGTATCCCCAGGCCATTGTCTGCCCTGTCCTGCTACATAGTGGTAAGATAAGCCCGAGGTAATCCAACTAGAAAACAATAAGGCTGATCTCAAGTTCAGGTATTTCACTTCTCAATTCAACCACTCCTTGTAATAATTCGTATTGCTACGTGAGAAGGGAAAAAGAGCCATCATACAAGTAGATGAAATTGAAGAAAATAGTAACAGCATTTCCAAAAGTATTCCTGGGAAACTGTCGCATGAGTAAACAGACTGAGATGCTCATGGCAAGGACAGCGCTACCTGAGTGGCGAACCAGCATGGACAGGTCGTAGTGCTTCTTCCCGTCGGTGGCGCTGCAGAGGAGGTCTTCCTTCTCTTTGATGCAGGCGTGCTTCGTGTCCCAGGTGAAGAAGTAGGTGCAATCCACCTCTCCAGTGAATACAGGAGTCCCTGTCCCATTGTTTCCTGTACAATTGGAAGGGAAATATAAAACTCGATTTTGTGACCAAAACCGAGGAATGTCTATGGAAGACGGGAAGAAACAGTAAACAGGACGAATGCCAATGTCCAGTTAAAAATTCAAGTCCAGATTTTTAGAGACCCTCAGGCTCAGAGATTAGAGTGGCTTCTATTAAGTTTCAGACACTCAAATGTAAGCCCCGGCTGGCAGGCTGGCAGGCCTGCGTCCCTTTCATCTTGGTAGAGTGGTATCAAGTAGGCCGGAGAGAAAGCTGTTCACAACACACTCAACTAGGAGATGAAAAGAGGACGAACAAGGACTGCGGGAGGAGAGCGACACGGCAGGCCCCTGCTGCTTCCCGGGCTGTGGCCAGCCTCCGACAGACTCATGAACATCTCTGGGTAAGACCAGGGACCCACCAAAACCAGGGCAGAGACCAGGGCTCTGGTTCCGAGAGTGCCACTACCTTTATGATGTGACTGTGAGCAAGACAAGTGCCCTGGGACTCATCCCTAACGTGAAAGCAGAAGAATATAGAACATTTACAGCTTTCCCAGCTGCACCGTGCTGTCTACACCAACCCCGCAACATCAGAGGCACCCCTGCAAACGCTGCCAGCGCCCTGTGACTTCGCCGATACACCCTGCTCAAATCAAGACTCCTCCTCTTCCACCATCCAGAGTGGGCCCCACAGATTTCCCCTCTGTTGGCCGCAACAGTTCAGCTCTACCCTGAAAACCAGCTCCTCATGGGCCGCTTCCCCATTCCATGCAGCCTGGGATTCTGAAAACTTTGTTGACTTTACCCTCTCAGGAAATACTATCCCTTCGCCTTCCCAGGATGGTGGGCCGCTGGCACAAAGCTCCTTTTTCCACCCCTTGACGGTTTAATAAATAATCCTTGTCTGGACCTCCCACGTGATTAGCCTCTTTGACGTCTGCTGTCCTGAGTTGTTGAATGTGCTAAGGGAAAGGGAAATGAGATTTCTGTACCAAGGGCAAATGATGTTTCAATTGCAATCTCTATTAAATCTTTAATATCATAATCAGTATAATTATAATACTAGCAACAGCAGCTAACCTATACCGAGCCCGATCTGACTCAAGCACTGAGCTGAACATCTCTGCTACATAAGGGTTAGCTACACAAAAACAGGCTCTGTTTTAAGTACCTTACACATATTAATGTTTTTGAGCTTCAAAACCCAATGGCATAGGTACAATATTGGCCCCACTTTGTAGATTTATGGTGGCCAAATAATTTGCCTATGGTTTCATAGCTAGAAAATAGGGGAGCTGGGAATCAAACCCAGATGGTCCAACCCCAAAGCCAAGCTCATAACCACGAGGCAAGACCTCCCCACTGTACTGTGGGGTTTTTTTTCTATTTTTCTTTTTATTTTTCCATTTTGTTTGGTCGGCTGGTTTTGTTTTGCTTTTAAATAAGCACTTTAAGCCATTCTCTTCCTTCCCCATCGCCCCAAGCTGGGACCATCAAGCTCTACCTGTGAACTAACTCGGTAGCTCATTCAACTCTTTTCAGCTCACCCACATAGTTAACATGCAGTTTAATCCTACTGGATTCACATTTCACTGTTTGCAAAAGATCTGTGTTTCTGCAAATTGGAAGCATTCACTGTGTTTGTCTTTTACCAGAGAAATAGTCCTAGCACTCATCCCTGCTTTTGAGCTGGTTTTGCATGACATTCACTAATGATCTACAAGGAGGTTCCATTTTAAATAACCGTCAGGATGTGTCTCCCTTGTATTCTTATTCTGTTCCTCAAAGAGTTTTAGCAGAATAGTAAGCTAAAATCCCCTCTTCCAAACAACTTTGGTTTCTTTTCAAACATAATGGGCTTTGCCTTCAGGGACCACTATTCTTGGGGCCTATGGTTTCTGTCCTTCCATCAACAGATTAGCATTAGCTTTTCACAACCTTTCCCTCACCCACACAAATCCCCAGCGCCTGCCTCGCTGCCCAGGCTCCAGTTTATTCCTCATCCACCACCTGAGTGGCCTCCTGGTCCCTGGATTCCATGACCAGCTAAAAGGGAAGGGAAGTTTTCCAGTGGAACCGAGGAGCTCTCTGCTACCAATTACCAAACTGGTTTAACTTTCCCTCTAAACTCCATTTTCCAGCCTCCCTTGCCTTTGAGGCTGGGTCAAGTGACTTAGTTCTGGCTCGTTTATCTTATTTTGTTTCTTTGACAGCTGACTGACACAGGGATCAAACCCTGGACCCCAGTGTTATCAGCACCACACTCTAACCAACTGAGCTAACCACCCAGCCCCAGCCCACTAAAAAAAAAAAAAGAAGTGTTGTTCCCATTCTGCAGAGACCATGGAGGCCAAGTCTACACATGGCAGCAGCATGAGATGGAAAGAGCGTAGGACCCTCAGTGACCACGTGGAGCAGAAACTCACCTCTTGCCCCATCCTCACTGACCCACACTGAACTTAATAAACCTTTAATGTACAGAGCCACTTATATTTGCGGGTAGTTTTTTATTAGCTTATCCTGTTTTACTCTTCCTCAAAAATTACCTAATGTCCTTATTCTACAGGATCACTGACAATAAGACATGGCTTTACAGCAAACTAGGTGTAAGTTATTGAAACAAATGGTAAAAAACATTATGACCAAAAGAATAAATGTATGTACCTTGTGTCTTGAAAATGCATGAACCTTAGATTCATAGGTGTAAGTAATTCCTGGAGATCCAATTTAAACTATAAACCACATTACATTATATTACATGGCCAACTAACACCCATTCACATTGAAAAATACGTTATTATGTCTAACCAATAAACACAGACTCCATCAAGGAAGGGATTTTCTCTAAAAACTCTAAACTTTAATTTGAACAAAATAATAATAAGATAGTTTTACAGTACGTAGTTTGCTCCAAAGTTTGGAGTACTGAATCACAGAGATGGAAGGAATCATAAATATTTCATAACCCAACTCCTGCTTGAGAGGCTCAAAACACCCCCACCAAACACCTAACACCTCTTTGTCCCCGCTCCTTATTACAATACTAATGAAAACAGCCAAGTAAAACGTGGATTTTTCAATACTGGGATATCGTTGTTGATTTGTCAGGTACAGTGATGGTACCAAGGCTACATAAAAGAACGTTCTTCCTTGGCATCAGCTGGAGTGACGGGATCCAACAATGAGAAACAGTTTATGGGAAGCAAATTTGGCAAAACACTAATGGCTGTAAGAGTGGTGGGGATATATTTTCATTACAGTATTCTTTCTACTGCTATGTTTGAAAATGTTTTTACTAAAAAGGAAAAAAAAAAAAAAAGGCTCTCAGCTTTCTTTTTTCAAGTCTCAGGCTATCTGGGTTTTAGCTTTCCAGGCCTGATTCTTCACCGTCCACACCCCTCCCTGTGAGTCCCCAACTCCATGCCCTTCTCATGTTCTCCGGGGTCATCCAGATCTTTCTGGATCATTATTCTATCCTCCCAGCATCCCTGAATGAGGTCAGCACACTCTCAAAGATCTTGGCCAAGTCACTAATAAAAAGCCCTGAACAGAAAAGGGACAATGGAGGTAATGACAAGGTTGGAGGAAGACGTGGACCACGAAGTCAGCCGACAGCAGAACAAGCCAGGCCACAGGGGTCCGGGAGAGCCGACGTAGGCACCACAGCCGCTGGAACCATGCACCTGAGGAGCTGGGGACACGGAGTGAGAAGCAGCTGTATTTCCCAGGGACTGGGACGCAGTGCAGGAGGGTGTCATTCAGAATCCAGCGAGGGTCTTCTAGAGCAGGCTGAGAAGACGTGAGGAGGATGGAAGAGAGATGACGAGCCCGAGGAGGGGCAGGGAGTGGCCCAACCAGACGGCACATGTGTCCGAAGCCCACACTGATATTTCTTATTCACTGATCAGATGCATGTCACACCCCTGCTGAAAATCCTTGGGCCTTCACATTGATGCCCAGATAAAGCCCGGCTCCTCCACAGGTCACACGAGCTCTTCACGACACAGCTCCACTCACCTTTCTGGGGCCATCTTTGGCCACGTTCTCAATTCTCAACCTGCTCACAGCTACTCATGTGCATGTCTTTGAAAGCCATGAGCCCCGTCCCCACAGCCACCCCCTGTCTTCACTGCCTGACCCCTGTGGCTACCCCAGACCCCAGCCCAGGCTGCCTTCAGCACCTCCCTCCTGGTAAGGGCTGAGTGACAATCCATGGCAGCAGCTCCATGACAGCATGCTTTACCCTGTACCTCAGTCCTGCGAATGCCTGGAGAGTCTCTGTCACCATGGCACCCTCAGGCCTCACAGGGCAGGAGCAAAAAGGTACTTAAAAAATGTGTGTACTGTGAAAGCGTCTTCAATGAAAGGAGCCAGCAAACAGATTCCAATGGAAGAGCAAAGCCACATGCGGGAGTCAGGAGGGCTGAAGGGCAACAGTGGATCCTGAGAACACACGTGGCCCTGAGGGCAGGTGCAAGGACAAAGAGACAGCCCTGCCCTGCCCCAGGCGCTCAGAGCTCAGCACTGCTTTCACACTGACGCCTGACCGTCTACCCAGTGCTTCGTGACCCGGGCTTCGGCTCACGTCCCGCGCAGCTGCCTCTCCTGGGTCCTGCAGTGAATCATGTAGGAACCTGCCCGTGACCAAACTGTCCAAAGCTCTGCCATAGAAACATACAAAACAAACAGAAGGGACAGCCAGAAAGACCCCCAGGGGCAGGGCAGCCACGTGTGCTTGGACTGGTTGTACAGAGAGGGCTGGAAACCAGGCCCAGCTCCAGGATGAGAGCTCTGTGCAGAGGCTGTAGGCTCTTGGAGGCGCCTGGGGCCTCAGCCTGGGGGCAACACATGGAACGGACCTCTGTTGATAATGGAACTCTTTGCCTCTCTACAGATGCAAGCTCGCCTACAATATTCCAGATACCATCAGCAGCAAGGTTTTTTGAAATGCCAGTACCTTGGTGCCTCAAGGACGCTTCTTTTTGTTTGTTTGTTTGTTTGTCTTTTGTTTTTTCTGACTGGTAAGGGGATCGCAACCCTCGGCACGGTGTGGTCCGCACCACGCTCAGCCAGTGAGCGCACCAGCCACCCCCATATAGGATTCAAACCTGTGGCCTCGGCGCTACCAGTGCTGCACTCTCCCGAGTGAGCCATGGGGCCGGCCCCAAGGACGCTTCTTCTAATCACTAGGAGAAAGCCATGCCTTCAGCTTAAATTTGCCCAGTGACATCTTGAGACCCCCAAATCCAAACTCTACCAAAAGGCCACTGCTCTGCAAAAAGGGTTACCTTGTCACTCATTACATAAAAGAAGAGGCCACCATTCAAAGTTGGTGAATAAACCCACCTCTGCTGCATCCGTCCTTGCTTTAGTGTGCGCCAGAATTCAAGACAGAAACCCTTTCCCAGCAAGCCCAGTGCTGGGCCCACTCCCAAAATAAACAGAGAGCAGAGGAAAATGGAAACAGGATGTGTGTGTCTTTGGAGGAGCGGGGGTGGGGAGGGTGTTACTCCAACTGTAAAACTTAGTCTGGGGGGCTAGAGGCGGCCAGGACTGAAGAAGCACATCTGACCGCTCCACTCAGCGGTCCACTTCCGAGAACGCACATGCACGCACACACACGCACACGCACCCACTGATGCAGAGAGTCGGGAGTAAGCCCCAGTACACACTCACCTGCATTTTTATTGCAGGCCAGGACTGAAGAAGCACATCTGACCGCTCCACTCAGCGGTCCACTTCCGAGAACGCACATGCACGCACACACACGCACACGTACCCACTGATGCAGAGAGTCGGGAGTAAGCCCCAGTACACACTCACCTGCATTTTTATTGCACTCAAAGTTTATGACGCTCATCCGCTGGAAGCCTGAGCTGCATTCATCGCCTCCAAAATATATCAAGGTGAGGTCTCCGTCAGAGTATCTGGATTTGTGTGAATATACAGACATGTTTGATAGAACGAAGGAAAAAACTTGAATTTTTTAAAATGTCTACATTGAGCCTTTTGCATACCATCAGCAAATCACTACTGACATAAAACAGCAAGCTCTCCAGCCCGCTGGAGGAACATGTCTAAAGGAAATGAGTTCCAAATGTACAGGCTGCTTGTCCTCTGGCTTCCAAGTAAGAACTGATGGGAAGAAAATGCTGCAGGCTGAGCTACGAGCATGAAGACTCCTCTTGCCCCCACCTCTGAACCTTGTACAAAATAAATACTGTCCACGAATCTGACAACCTTTTTTAGCAATTGTCATAAACACAGTCTTACTGAGGAACCCCGGGCAATACTCATTTTCAGAAAACTGCACTTTCCCGCTGCTTTTGTGAAGCTAACCACCAAGGTAAGGGTCACAAGAATTGTGCCGAGCGCATATTTTTAGTTGCTAAAGACGTTTGTATAATGCTAACAGCATTTCAGATTCTCAAATGGACAGAAAAAAAATCAAAACTCCTCAAAAACATAAATTTTAAAATATAAAAGCCTAGGCTGGCCGGTTAGCTCAGTTCGTTAGAGCACGGTGTTATAACGCCAAGGTCAAGGGTTTGAATCCCTGTACCGGCCAGCTGCCAAAAATAAATAAATACAAAAGCCGTATCAACTGTAAACTAAATAATTTTCCTTCGGTATGGTTCCTTACAAACAATAGCTTTATAAAGCGAACAGTTCTAACAGAAGCACTATTATTGTAAAGCCAGGAAAAACATCCAGCTGCTAAGTGACAAATGGCAACTGGCCTGAGTCCAAGAGGAAGGAAGGCTGGCTTAACTGATTTTCCTGAACTTTACGGAAAATGGTAGGAAGAAGACGACTAGAAGTGTGAGTTATGGTTCACAAGAATATATACAATGCACTCGAAAACTGCGCGGAAGCCGCATACACACCGCAGGGTTTGGTTCTGGTATCTTCCTGCTACTTTGACTTGAGTGGAATCGCTCTTTTCCACTTGGCAAACCGCAGCTTCTTTCTTATTACAGATCTGTGCTACAGTTTCCCCACAGACGTTCATATAAAAAAGATATTCTTTTCCATCCGAAGTATAGTGCAAACCTGAAGAAAGGGAAATAAATGAGAAGAGGCTTTCTTCCATCCGTAGGAATTGGAAAGTTACTGCATTATTTTAGCCAAACCCAAAACTGGCCCAAATGACGGTTCTTTCCACCCCAGCAGCATGGACTGCCTCAGCCCCTACTGTTCTGTTCCCCTCTCCCGTGTCCTTTCTTTCTAAGCAGCACTAGGAAGCAGGGCAGAGCAGAAGGTGCCCACTTACCTCTGTCCTGGGCGAGTGGGCGGAGGTCAACGGTGATATCGTGCTGCTCACTGCTCAAAGAACAGGTTTTACTTTCTAGGTAATCTCTGTGGCAGGCATACTCAGTAATCCACTCAATTTCGTAGCGGCAATTGGATTTAGCAGTGAGTTTGGGAATGGTACCCTATGAGGAACAATTTGAAAGGAACAAAATAAAAATTTTTTAATGCAGCTTAAATGCAGATTTTCTAAGCTTCTTCTGAAACATTAAAGAGGTCTTGGGATTTTACATTTTTCTGTTCCCGTTTTGTGAATCATAATTGCCCCTAACACATTTTGATTATATGACTTCACTCCATTTATTTTTACTTTTTTTTTTTATTAACTTTTTTTCACTTTTATTTTTTTCCATTTGAATTACAACAACTCCGTTTCCTTTCTGGTCACCTTCAGAGCAACACTCGAGCTTCAACCAGTGAACCCACCCTGAGCTCTGCGTCATTTGGCCATCATTATGACCTTGGCAAGCGGTGATGAGTCAGGATGGCACCTGGTCCATTCATTCTCTCCATGAGAGGTGCCGAGTGAACACTGGCAGGTGTGTACACACCCAAGAGACTGTCCACAACCCCTTTCCTAAGACTGACAAAGGGGTCTTGGGCACCACCTCTTCTGTACTCAAATCTGCTCCTGGGTAAAGCCCCAGCATCACCCATCCGCAAACCCAGATTCTGCCATTTTGCTGCCAGAGAACTGCTTTTACAAACTGGGAGCTCTGACGCTTGTCTCTGTTGTCAACTGTGAAGGGTGCTGATGAGGTCACACCACTCATTAGAGTACTACTGCCGTCTTTTCAATTATCCTTGAGAGGAATGTCTTACTGGCCTTATTACCAGGAATAGTTGTGCTGCTTCTAGGCACCATTCATTCCCTAAATATTTACTGAGTACCTACTACGTGCCAGGCACAGTGCTAAGTACAGGGTTTACAAATAGGTCACACAATTAGTAAGCTGCAGAGGTGTGAGACCAATCCTCTGCTGTCTGACTCAGAACCACGCATTTCTCAGCTCGGCTCAGCGCCGTCTGACATAAAGCGATGCAGAGCTGAGTGCTACATGAGGGAAGCCAGACACAAGCAGCCACGGACTGTATGACTGCATTTATATGAAATGTCCAGAAAAGGCAAATCTGTAGAGACAGAAAATAGACTTGCAGTTGCCAGGGCTGGGGGTGGGAATGGGAAGAGACTGCTAATAGGCATAATGTTTCTTTGGGGGGCGGTAACAGAAACATTCTAAAATTGAATTGTAGCAATAGTTGCACAATTCTGTAAATATACTAACAACCATTGAATTGTGCTTAAAACAGGTAAATTTTACAGTATGTAAATGCAATAAAGCTTTTAAAAAATATTGGTATGACAAGGTAAATGCTTACGACTTATCAGCTCCTAAAAGCATTCAATGTGCCAACGTAAATGCTTAAATAAACCTTCCAAGTATTACAGTATCCAAACTCATTTAACACAAGTTCTGCCCAGTAAACAGTTAAGCTCGAAATGAAGCTTCTAGACCCACTAATAACAAATTAGCCTCCTCTTCCAACACCAAGAAATGCCTCGAACCCCGAGGAAAAAAAAGGAAGGAAACTCCTGATTCTCTTAATTGTCTCAGTGTAAAATTATTCTTACCAAATACAAAACAAATAAAAAATGAAAATCCTAAAACCACTACCAGCTTAGAACGTATCACCAGGCTTAAAAGATTTCAATTCACATCTGTAAGTACAAATGGAAAGTATAAATAAATATTCCTCAACATTCACATTCAGAACTAACGTCGGCCCATCGGTCCTCGTTAAGCTGAGGGCACATGGATGTGGAAGTCCAGGGACATAAAGTCGAAAGCTGAGCCTGGAGTGCACTTTTGTCTCCCTATCCCCCACACACAAAACAGGCCAGCTGCCAGCCTGAAATCAGAGCAAATTCCACATTTGCTGGGGGGAGGGGAGTGTGGTTCTCTAGTGAAAGAATTCAGCCCCCCCCCCCCCCCCCCCCC